AGAAGAAGAAGAAGAAGAAGAAGAAGAAGAAGAAGAAGAAGAAGAAGAAGAAGAAGAAGAAGAAGAAGAAGAAGAAGAAGAAAGAAGAAGAAGAGAGGGAAAAGGCAGAAGTTGAGCAGAGACTGAAGTAGTAGAGTGCTAGCCTTGAGCAAACAGCTCAGGTACAGCACCCAGGTTCTAAGTTCAAACCCCCAGACTGGCAAAATTGCTTTTCATATGTATATGACACCAAAGCAATTTGTACAAGACATTAAAGCTTAAATGAACCTACTGAAAATGTCATCAAGATTAGAGTTGCCCATATTTAGAGCTCAAAGATAATCCACTGATTCTCACATCAGAAGGCCCTGGAAACTGTATTCTTCTTGCAAAGATTCTGATTTAATTGATGTGAGCTGTGACCTGACATGAGCTTTTTAATGATAAGCCTTTAAAAAAAATGGAAGTAAGTATAGCTAAAAGAGGTTTGAGTTAGCCCCTAGTAGCACACTTAATCATGGTATTAAGCATACACTTTGTACTAGCAATCACTGTTTGGTCTATTTTTTGCATTTTGTGAAAACACAGGTCGCTCGGGGGTCCATCTGTGCTGTGTTTGGCCTGGGAGGGGTTGGTCTGTCTGTTGTCATTGGCTGTAAAGCAGCGGGCGCAGCCAGGATCATTGCAGTGGACATCAACAAGGATAAGTTTGCAAAGGCCAAAGAGTTAGGTGCCACTGAGTGCATCAACCCCCAAGACTATGACAAACCCATCCATGAAGTGCTACACGAAATGACTGATGGAGGTGTGGATTTCTCCTTTGAAGTCATCGGTCGGCTTGACACCATGGTACGTCCTCCGACATCCTTGAGATTTCTGCTTCTTCTATCTAGGTGGTAGGGGACAAAAAGCTTATGTATAAACATTTTTCTTAGAATGGCAACTTTCCATCTCCTGTTTGTTATTTAGATTGTTTAATATAGTGCTATAAGAAATCCTTCGCTTTATCAGGTAACAAACCTGTCTCAAGTAGTATTTTTTCCCTTGATGGGGAAAGGATTGCTTTTTATTCAGCCATTAAAAATCAGTTTTCAGTTAAAATAATTCAAGTTAAACTGTAAGTAATGCAAACTCTGTCCTTAAATTGGCCTGTTTGCCTTTCCTCAACACCCTTAAATACTTTAACAGGTTTTCATGTTTTCTTCACATGTGTTTTCTCACATATCACCATCTCTCCAAAAGATAAAATATTGAGCAATCTAGAGCTAAATGTAATTTTATTAACAGAAAATGTGCCCTAAAACAGTGGCTGCTTTGCTTTAGTGTATCACTGTACATTACAGTGATACATACACCACAACGAGTTCAACTCCAGACACATAGCAGTCACCCAGTGCCTATGTATTGAAGTGAATACTGTAAAAACTAAACAGTCAGCAGATTGTGCTCCGCATATACCTCCTGTATACCTCATGCACTCTTTACGGATTACATGAGATAATGCAGGTAACATTCCTACCACAGTGTCACCTGTCATGTAGTAAGCTCTCAATGAATGCCAGCTGGTGTTAATGATGTAAAAATACAACTCCCAAGCTTTCATCGCTTGCATTTTTTTAAATATACAAGATACTACTTTCTAGTAAATACAAATGTTATTATCTCTTAGCCATATTTTACTTCACCTGAGTTCTCTAGCATTTGCTGAAAATTGTCCCCGGAGGCCAACACATTCCATGCCAATAAATCTTGGCAATGTTGTAACAGGGAACTCTAATCTGAGAGCAAAGTTCCTGACAGTGTTAACGTGGAAAATTGTGCCACACAGGTCAGGACCTTCCAAGAGAATCCAACTTGTTCCAAAGCTAAAGCTTTTCTCATTCGTATCTTCCCTGTTCCCTCAAGTAGAATTGGACTGTCACTTTATTTGATAATGCCAATAATCTGGTAGCCACATATGCTGAGGATAGCTGATCTTCTAAGTGTAATACTTCAAAATTAGAAGGCTTATCACTCTATATTCTAGAAAATTCGGCGCCATTTTCACCATAAACTATGTCCAAAAATGACTGGAGCAAAAAGCTTTCTGGGCTATTTTGTGACAGGATGATAGGTTAGGTTCAAGTAAAACCAATGCACATTTTGGCTAGTGGATAAGGTAACTTGAAACACATGCATCTTAGACATGGACAGTAGAACAAAGATCTCTTAAGAGATGCATTACCAACTGGATGAAAGACCAGTTCTCATGATGTAATCATCACGTTATGTTCACCACCAAAATACTTGGTTCCAACCAAGTACTAGGTTCAAATTACCTACTTAAATAGATAAATGAAAAATCAAATGAACCAACTTATAGATGCCTTGCTACGCATGAGAAACAGTATCCTTTGCGGAGGATAGGGACTGCATGCATCTATAACGATTCTGACCTCTTTGTCAGTTTCTACAGAAGAATTAGATACACAAAAAATCATTCTATGGTTTTTCATTGAAAAAAAATGCTCTGGGGGCATTTCTTAAAGCCACAGAAGTTTCCTAGGCACAATGAAGAAGGAAGAATAATATTCTTCCTTCCACACAGTTAAAATCAATATGACATGATGCTTTATGTTGTGGGTAGGAGCTAAGAGAATCTACTTCAAGAATGCTAAAAACTACTTTGAATCCAGGTTGCTGCTCTGCTCTGCTGTCAAAATTCACATGGTGTGAGTGTCATTGTAGGGGTGCCTCCTAATGCCCAAAGCCTCTCAATGAACCCCATGGCGCTGCTCGGTGGACGCACCTGGAAAGGAGCTCTATTTGGTGGTAAGTAGTCAGACCTGAGACCCAAATTTCTGTTCACCGCAGCATTTCTTCCCTTTTTTTTTCTTTTGTTAAATGGTTCCCGATACAGGTAGTAGGTATATTTTATTCCTAGTTCCCATGAGTGGTATGCACACATTTACCTTTTCTGGAATATGGAGTCTAGTAGAAACAGCCTTCCAGCCCCCAAACAGGAGGTGGCAGCATACACCCTGCTTTCCACTATGGCACCTGCAGAATCTGCAGTGCGCACTCAGTGCCAGTAATGCGTGATTCCTTTCTCTTCACACCCGTTCAGAAGCTGTGGCACTGTGGCTCAAGCGGTAGAGCGTTTGCCTTGAGCTGAAGAGCTGAGGGACAGTTCAAGGGCCACGACTGACCAAAAAAAAAAAAAAAGTTCTCCTCAGTTCTTCCCTTTTGCAAGAAATAAGACCAGAATTTGAAAAGCAATGGTCAGAAAATAAATAAAACTTCCTGTTGGACTTTAAGGTCCAAATCAGCTAAATGTAGGGGGGAAATTCAGAGAGAAAGTCCCAAAACAGACTTTCTTGCTTCCCCATAAACAAACTAAGACCTTTTGGTATCAGCTGGTTTTCCCTGCTGGTTACAGAAGGTACCAGAATTCCTAGTAGGACAGTAAGTCATGTCTACAGCAGTAATTCACAAGGACACTAGTTGATTGGAGTTGACTAGTTTGTAGTTTATAGTTGACTAAAGTCAAAAGACTGCAAAAGGCTTTTGAAGCACTCTCTGGTTGATCGCATAATAGCAGTCTATGGAATGATATACTTTTTATAAACTATCTTTTTTATTTTATTGGAGATTCTCTTGTCTGATTCTCCTGCTTCCCCCTGCAGGAATCTAACAATGATCTCATCTTCTTTTCAGGCTATAAGAGTAAAAATGCTGTCCCCAAACTTGTGGCTGATTTTATGGCTAAGAAGTTTCCATTGGAACCATTAATAACCAACGTTTTTCCTTTTGCAAAAATAAACGAAGGATTTGACCTCCTTCGCGCTGGAAAGAGGTAAGTTTTGATTTTCTTTTTGTGATCAACGATTGACTAACAGAATGGAAAAGGAGATAGGTGAGGGAGGGGAAATTAAATGTCCTGGTTTTCCATTGCCAGTTCAGTCTGTACATGAAGACCATTCAAAAATCACATTCTGAGAGATAAGAATAGTCAATTTATATTTCCTCTCCTGCTGAACTACATTGTTTACAGCAAACATGAATAATTAGAGCTATTTAGCATGCCTTATAAGAGAGTACCTTTGCCAGAGAAGGCATCAGAGTTCTACAACCATAATTAAGATATGTAGTTATGGAAGCCTCTTCCATGACACTGAAGGCTGACTGTTAATGACTGTAGATTAAATTATATGCAGAAAATACCCAATTTTTTTATTATAGAAGCAGGTACAACTTCATGCAAGATTAATTTCTATATAGATACCACGAAACTTTCTTTTAAAATACTATTCTTATTTCTTTCCACAGTTGATAAAGACCTTTTCTTAAATAAAAGTTATGGTAAAGAGGAAGGATGCAAAATGCTATTTAAAATGTTTACATGTGTGGACTGGGAATGTGGCTTAGTGTTAGAGTGCTTGCCTAGCATGCATGAAGCTCTTGAATCGATTCCTCAGGACCACATAAATAGAAAAAGGCAGAAGTGGTATTGTAACTCAAGTACTAGCTTTGAGCCAAAGAAGCTCAGGGACAGTGCCCAGCCCCTAAGTTCAAGTCCCAGGACTGGCAAAAAACAAACAATAAAGTGTTTACATTTATATTTTTTACAAACATTAGAAAAGGAAAGTCAATCCATTTCTCACCCCAAACAAGCACCTAACAGGGTGATTTTTGATCTGTCACATCTAGAATAGACACAACTATTGACTTCTTTCTAATTCTGTTGTTGCATTTTCTGTTACCTCACATTTCTTCTCATAGGTTTTCAACTTTAAATATTATTTCTTACAGACTCACATGTAAAATATGGCATTAGATACTTCACTGACAAATAGTCTTGCAGAAGAAAAGAAAGCAGCATCCACACAGCACCCGCTGTTCCGCTCATCCAGAGCATTGTGCCTTCCCTAACGCAATTCTGAATCTGTGCTGCCAGGCAGGGCCCAGTTTCACTTCCTCGGACTTTGAGAAATGAAGGCCCTTACTCCCCTCTTTACCCCATCGCTGGCAGCGAGTAACCAGACAAGCCCTTTCTCCTGTTTCTTATGCTTTGCCAGAGTCAGGAATGATGGAAAGTGACAACTGAAAGCACTCAGCATTGCCCTCTCTGCTCTTCTGTTTTTCTAGCATGTAGCAAATGAGTGTGAATTGTGTAAAAGTTAACACCACATCTCTTATCTCCTCTTTCAGTATTCGCACAGTTCTGACATTCTGAAACCATTCAGATGCTTTCCTGGAAGCCAGCCTCTGACTCCTCCTTCTCAGCGCACCTGGAGCACCTGCCTGCCACGGGGCATCATCAGTTCTGTTCCTTAGAGGTGCCATCAGTAAATCACTTGCACAAGCTTTCCAAAAGAAACCGAAATTCCTCTCAATTAAATGCTTAGAATCCAAGCAAGAGCTAATGAAGAGCAGCTGAAAACAAATGAACCTACTTAAGTTTTCCCTCTTACTCACTGTATTTACACAGCCTATCCTTTTCCTTATGCTCAAGAAAAGATACTTCTTGTGCCTTCCTGCAAGTTTATTTTATTTTATTTTTATCTTTTAAGCCATCAATCATTGAAACCCAGGGAAGGGGATCTTCTTTCCTGGATTTACCCATTCCAGGGCTTGAAGTCCTACCTCTGTCTCTGTCTCCACTGTCCGTCTTTGTCTCTTCTGTCACTGTGTGTGTGTCTCCCTTTCTCTCTCACCCCCATGGTAATAGTGTCTGAACTCAGGGCCTTGTATTTGCTAGGCACTATGTTTTCCTTTTTATAAAATTAAAGCTGTGGAAGATAAATTTAGCTTATAAACTTACAAGTAAATAAGTCGGGTCGTATGCAATTGTATACAAATACCTTAACCAAAATATAGTAGACACAAAAAAGAACTCAGTGTAGTTTCTTAGAAAAGTAAAATCAAAGTTCAGCACAATAAAACACCAGGAAATGGGTGCTCAAAAGGGGTGGGAACAGTGGGTGGATACATTCATAATATTTAATGTATGTATATGAAAAAGGAAGTGAGAAAGTTGATGTGACTGACAGGTGGGAGAGGGGAAAATGGCGGAAGCAGAGATTCCAGTGGAGATGCGCTGGACACAGAACTGGACACATTAAATTGTAACTCCTTGTATAATCATTTCAAGATTCTTAAAAATCATTTTAAAAAACAAATTTAAAAAAAACAGAAGTTGAAAGAAATAGTCCGTGAAATGGACTATTGCAGGAACTGCTATTAACATGCCCAGAGGGAAAAGATGATATTATGTGCATGAATAAGAACATGATGTCATCTTTTAAAAATGTTTTGGGAGTTAAAAATGATCATTCCCAGAATGGAACTGCAATAAACACATAAAAGATCGGAATAAATCTACCTCCCTTGAAGTACCACAGAAACTGACCAATTAAGTTAAAGGACCCTATGGGGGTAGAGAAAGGCTATGGTCTTTCTCTGGATAGAATGAAGGAGTTCTCCAGGACGAGGATGGAAACGCTCCAGGATGACAGGGTGACCACCTGCAAGGCACATGCTGTCACACTGGAGAAGCTCAAACTAAAATTCCAGTATCTGCACCAACTCTTAGCTGAACACATACTGTGTCTTCACCTCCTTAGCTGGGGGAAAAATGACACGCTGTAAAAAATGTGTTACAAAATTTGAAAAGTAAGAGATGTGACAGACTTCTTTTTTTTTCTTTTCTTTTCTTTTTTATTGTGAAAATACTGTACAGAGGGGTTACAATTACATGGGCAAGATAATGAGTACATTTCTTATCAAGCATTGTAGCCTCCTACTTTGTTTCCCCTTCACATCCCTTCCCATCCTCCCCCTGCTCCCCCACCCAACCCTCCCCCCCCCACCAAAGTTGTAAAGTTTGTTTTCAACATACTACTTGTACGTCTCATTGTTGCAATGGGTCCACCTGTATCCCTATTTAAACGATTTGTTTTTTCCCTTCCCCTCCACAAATTATAACAACATCAAATACAGTGAGTCAAGCAGAAAAGGTCAGATAAGTTGATGTTAGGGAAATGAACCCTAAGATATGTATTCATCCGATTGTTTCTAACACATTTATAAGATTATTTCTTTGTTGCTTTGTATGTCCCTCTCCCACGGTATAACCCCTGCTTTCACTGACAGACTTGCTTCTATAAAATGGGGATAACAAGAGGGCCTACATCATGTAGTTTTTTGTGAGGTTTAAGTAAATTGTTAAGTGGAAAGTTACAATAGGATCTGGCACAGATGAAGAAACCAGGCTTTTAGTTGTCATGATTAATATTAGCATTTGGATAAACCAGCTTTCTGTTGCTGTAGCAAACATCTGAGATAAGCAATATACAAAGAAATGGTTCATTGAGGCTCGTCATGATCCATTGGCCATGATCATGGCAGAAGGTTGTGGTGAGAAATCTGAAGAGAGAGAGACAGAGAGGTACGAGGGAGGGAGAGGGAAGAGGAATAGAGAGAGGGACAAGTAGAAGGAGGAAAGGATAAGGTCTTATAATCCTCTACAGGCACACGCTCAATGACTTAAAGTTTTCTCCTTATGCCCCACCTCTCAAAGTTTCCACCATCTTCCAGTTTTGCCAAGCTGGAAGCAATGCTTTTAATGCATAAGCACATTTAAGATCCAAATTATAACATTATTTATCAGGCAGGTTATTAAACTCCAGACTTATGCTTCTTGAGGAATTGGCTCCATCATTCAATGTGCAACCTTGGGAAATTCACCTAAGTAAAGCAAAGATTGCATAAACCTAACAAAGCCAGAACCCCCTAAGTGTTAGATATGAATTTATAAGGTTGCAAAAATAACAATACATTGACATACATTATTAGAGTATATTTGTTGTACAAATTGGTTTCTTAATGTTATTTCCACATGTGTATAAGATATACATTGATCATATATCCCTTCTGTGACTCCTTATTATTTTCCCCTCCGTTTTCCTTACAATTTTAATGGGTAAAAATTGTATTTAAAATTCTTTTTGTCGGTCATGAGGCTGGAACTCTGGGCCTGGGCACTGTTCCTCAGCTATTCAGCTAAAGGCTAGCACTCTACCATTTGAGCCACAGCGCCACTTCTGGCTTTTTCTGCTTATGTGGTGCTGAGGAATTGAACCCAGGGCCTCATGCATGCAAGGCAAGCACTCTATCACTGAGCCACCTTCCCAGCCCCATATTTTAAAATTTTTGAAAAGAAGAAAACAATAGCTCAAAATTTCTTTTAGCTTTCATTTGTTTGAATATTATGCCAAATGTGGCATTTGTATTACTTTCCATATTTGAAGGCACTCTAAACATTTAGTTTTTCCACATCATTTTGGTAATTAAGTTTTAGAGCATATGCCAAGCATATTGACTGAACAATTTAAAATAAATCACCAAAATATTTGTGGAACATTTTGATGATTTGTAGTTTGGCTGTCAGGAAACAATGGAATGAACATCTTCTTTGGCTTTGGATATCAACTTCCGTGATTTCCTCTGACCCTTCTCCAGGGAATGTAAGCAAACGTTCTGTTCCTTTGCTCATAATCTTCCTGGAAAGGTTGCAGCTCCAAGGCTACAGCGAGGTCAACAAGCACCCAGCATCCTCAAATCAGAATGAAAGACTGGTTGAATAACCATGCTGCAGGAACTTAAAACCTCAGTCCAGAGCTCTATTTTACAATCACTGAATTCTTATTCTTCATCCTGCACCTTATCCTTCAAGTGCTCCAAAGTTCTCAGACCATGCACAAATAAGAAGTGATGCCATCTTCCATGCTAGCAAGTTTTAAATTACTAATCTCATTCATTTCCAATTAATTTAATCCCCCAAATGAAGGATTTGAATGGAAGGTGACTTCTGTAGGTCACAATAATACTTCTCTGGTCCTTGTAGTTCATGAGGCCCTGGGAGAAAAGCAAGCAGCCATGTTTCTTGACTTGGTTTTGCCCTCGGAGGCTTTGGAGTCAAATCTCAAACCTGTTTGTTGTTAGTTGCATATTTATATTTGCGATGCCAATTCTTGGCTTCCTGCTAGTCTTTGCATACTTTTTTTTTTAATTTTTTTTGGGGGGGTCCAATTGTGGGGCCTGAACTCTGGGCCTGGGTGCTGTCCTTCAGCTCTTCAGCTCAAGGCTAGCGCTCTACCACTTGAGCTACAGCGCCACTTCCGGCTTTTTTCTTTTTGCATATGTGGTGCTGAGGAATCGAACCCTCGGTAACTATGTCCTACTCATGGGTAGTGAAGCATAGCAATCACACTCTCTCACATCGTGACTTATATGGCAAAGAGGCCATGTGCAGGTGGGAGTGTACAGAAAGAGCCACACCCAGGTGGCCTGTGTACATGACAAATAGCAGTTTCCAATAAAACAAAAAACATCCCAAAACATCCTGTTTACCATAACACCTTTCACACCTCCCAAAAAAACATCCTATTTTTTTTTTAAAAAAAACCCTATTTACTAAGTCTAAGGCCCAAGTTTCCTATTTACTAAGACACCTTTCATACCTCCCAAGTTCCCTAATTACCAAGTCTAAGGCCAAACAACCTGCTGGGTTTCTGGGCTTTTTCTGAGTTCTGCTACATTTCAGTAACCTGATGTTTAACTTGTTTATTATTTCATACTTGGGTCTTTACCTCTGGAATTTCCCTTTAATGTCCTGTCCTATTTTGTAATAATTAATAATTTTGTTCTATCTCTGATTTCACATTTTACAGCAGGTCTTTGAGACAGGAGTCCACCTACAGCTGCCGACTTTCTAGTAATGACTCCCAATTCGGCCTCTCAAGATGTGGCTTCTCTGTTTCTCACAACTGAATTTCCATACAACAAATTTAGCCAAAACTATCTGATCCCTAACTCTGGGTCAGGCCCTGAGTGAAGTGCTGGGAATGCACCAGGACAGTACAGGGAACATCATCATCTCCTTTGGTGTTACACTCTATATGCTCCAACTGTCCCTTAGCACTGGCCACTTCCTACCTCATGTGAAGGGCCTCTGTCTTTCCTTCTGACCACTGTCACCCCATGCTGACCAACAGCTCTTTGAAGAGGAGATAATGCTGTACCTGCTGGATGATAAGATTCCCGTTGCACAGTGACTGTCCTAACATAATGGAGCATAAGAAGTCAACTATTATTCACTAAACACCTATTGAATACCTGATACTAGGTACAGGTGAGACTGAAATAGTAATGAAATTTAAGAAGACCTTCCCCAGCCAGAAATTTCCTGTCAAGTTTAAGAGAGAATGATCTCCTCATATATACAAAGGCCAACAAGAGAAACTAAATTTTAAATATCACAAGAAGAAAAGCAAAATAGTGTGAACCAAAGTACATTTTTTCTCTTGTTTTTCTTTTCAACAGAGTGAGATAACATCAGATAAAAGTCAACCTTGACTGAACCTCATGCTATACAAAAATAAACCTGAAACACACACACACACACACACACACACACACACACAAATACAGATGATGAAGTTTCTCTAAGAAAGCATTGAGAAATATATTTATGATCATGATAGGAAGTTCTAGAGTATTTAGATAGGACTACTAGGTAAATAGAAAATATGGTCATCTCTGGGGTTAAACACTTCTAATCTCCAAAAGAAAAATGAAATAGAGTTCTCGGGCCAGGCTTCCCCGAAGTGGCATTCGGTTCCCGGGTTGGGGTCGAGGTGTCCTAC